AAGCGTTACAGACAGACAGACAGACTAAGCCTTTTATTATGTTAGAATATAGACATATACTAATTGTATCAAATCTATACAATTATAAGTACGTGTTATATTGTACCCATGTGCATTTCTTTGACCATCTCAGTTGGTATGTTGTTTCACCACCTGTCCTTCCTTTTAACGTTATATGCTATTCAGGTAGTTTCCACATTGTTGCAAATCAGATGATTTATGGCTGGATAACAATCAGAAAGTTAACTAAAGCTTACTGTTAATACTATTCCCAAAGTAGCTCTTTATTTTTCTTCTTTTGCCTTCTAAGATGACATTTTTTACATTTGGTCTCAGACGAGAGTTTGATTTTTTTTTTTTTTTTTTTTTTTTAAAGTTTGAGCAGAATCATTTAGCTATCCTTGGACTAGGGAAGTATATGTAATAGACTCCCCCCCCCCCCGTAAACGTCATGTGCCTCCTGAGGCTGGGAGGCATGGCAACTGCCTGCAGGCAGTAGTGGCAGTGTCTGTGGCGGGGGCGTGGCAGCGGTGAGCAGGGAGCTTCCGCAGGTGGCCACGGCAGTAGTAGCAGCAAGTGGGGAGATGGTGAGTGGTGACCGCCCACAGGCAGTGTCAGCAGTGGCCACTCTCAGGGGGTGCACTGCCAATCCCAGGGGATGCATGTGCATCCACATGCATCCCCTACATGTCACCAATGACTCCCCCTATATATAATAGTCTTATGGTACAAAGTTGGTATTTTCTTAAAGTAACTTGCTTGCATGTTAAGGTCAGAAGAAATCGCATTCCATTAGATTTCCAGTTTTAAAGCTAGAACATGGAGAAATATTGGAATTGAGAGCCAAAGCAACTGCCTACTGTCATCCAGCACATGAGTGGCAGAGCTGAGAATTCAGGTTCTTCAGCACCTGTCTAATGCTTTCTCCACTAGCCATGCTGCTGTATAGCAGTTTTGATACATTTCTCACTTGAGGTATTTAGTAGGCCTGTGCAGATAGGGAAGTATTGGATTCAGATTCAGCTGATTCGGAGGACAGTGATTCAATTCGGTGATTTGAATCACTGTCCCCATTCGATTTGGCCGAATCAGTCAGAGATTTGGTGCTGATTCGGAGATGCCGGTTGGCTGGGGAAAGGCAGGGACAGTCTGAAGGGTCTCCCATGGCGTCTCTGGCTGTACCTGCCTCTGCCCTGGTGGGAGGTGTCACAGGAGAAGCCCCCATGGCTGCCCTGCCCAGCGCCATCCCCTACCCGGCCGAGCCAGGGGAGGCACGATGCAGGCGCAGCTCACTCCTGGCGGCAGCAGGGCATAGACTCTGCTGCCAGTGCTGCCATGCCCACACCAGCACTGGGAGTGGGGACTCTACCCAGCTGGCGTGGGGGGTTGGGCGCTGCTACTTTTTGCCAGCCAGCATGGGATTCAGGCGCAGTAGCACTTGGAGTGGGGGCTTTGCCCTGCTGCCACTTGCTCAGCTGGTGTGGGGACTGATGCAGGTGCAGCTCACTCTGGGCAGCAGCAGGGCGTAGCCCCCACTCGCCACACTACTGTGCCTGCATTGCTGCTGCTTACCCCCTTCCACCTGGAGCGAGCTGCACTCGCATCCCGCGACCCCCACCCCCCTTCCCAAGTAACCCACCCTTCCACCCTGG